GGATGAAGAACACCATAGCATTGGCTAGGAAATCGCAGCAGTGTCTCTTCTTACTCCGCAAACTAAGAAGAGCAAGAGCACCAGCCCCCATCCTGTACACTTTCTACAGAGGCACCATCGAGAGCATCCTGTCGTGCGGCATCACTGTGTGGTTTGGAGCCTGCAACGTATCCTGCCTTTAAACCCTCCAACGTATAGTGAGAGCAGCAGAGAAGATTATTGGGGTCTCTCTCCCCTCCCTACCAGACATTTACAGCACCCATCTCACAAAAAAGGCCCTTCACATTGCGGCTGATCCCACTCACCCAATGCAAAGCCTCTTCGAGCTGCTGCCGTCAGGGAGGAGACTGCGGAGTCTCAAGGCTAGGACCAACAGACTGAAGGACAGCTTTATCCATCAGGCAGTTAGGAAGCTAAACTCCCTCCCAGCTCTCCCCCCTCTCCTCTCTTTTCCCCCACAGTCTCTCTGAACTTGGTTACTTTTTTATACTAAATGTTTATTTGCTATCTAGCGAGAGTTTGAGAGTAACGTAATTTCATTTCTCTGTATGTCCTGTACATGTGGCAGAATTGACAATAAAACTGACTTTGACTTTGAAGGCTCTTTTTTTCTCATTTAGCAGATTTGTCAGTTCACTGATGATCCAGGGTTTGTTATTAGCGAAGCATCTCACTGTTCTGATGGGTATGATGTTGTCCACACAGAAGTTTATATAGTCAGTGACACATCCAGTCAAGACATTGATGTCCTCTTCATATCCTTGGCAGAGAGTCATCCAATCTGTGGTCTCAAAACAACCCTGCAGGGCTTCTTCAGCGTCCTGTGACCATTTACTCACAGTTCGTCTTGTCACAGGTTGCCTCTGAACAAGTGGTTTGTATTCTGAGCAGAGAAAAACAAGATTGTGATCCAATTGTCCCAGAGGAGGTCTTGTTTTGGACATGTATGCATTCTTTACATTTGCATAACACAAATCCAATGTCTTGTTTTCTCTGGTGGAGCAGCTGACAATCTGTTGAAGTGTTGGAAGTGTATCAGAGAGCGAGGCATAATTAAAATCGCCAGATATAGTCACAAATGCATTGGGGTGCTGGGTTTGTAGCTTAGCGACAACGGAACTGATGGCATCACATGCATTTTCAGCAATGGCTGAAGGTGGAATACAAAAGGTTGCCAAGACAACACTGGTGAACTCTCTTGGCAAATAATATGGGCAACAACTTACTGCCAAGAGTTCAACATCTGGGCTGCAGAGATGACATTTCACTGAAACATGACCTGGATGGCACCATCTGTTGTTGACAAGCACTGCCACTCCACCTCCTTTTCTTTTCCCGCTCCTCTTCAGATCTCTGTCTGCTCGTACAGTCAGGAATCCTGGCAGAGAGATGCTGGAATCGGGTATATGGTCCTGCAGCCACGTCTCAGTGAAACACATAACACTGCACTGCCGAAACTCTGGCTGAGTCCTTGAAAGGGCTTGGAGTTCCTCCATCTTGTTGGCCAGTGATCTCACATTGCCCATTATGATCGATGGAAGAGATGGTTTGAATTTCCTCTTTCTCTGTCTCCGTTTTGCTCCCGCTCTGCACCCACTCTTCTTGCGTTTTAGCTGATTTGGGATTTGTGGCTTCAGTTGAGGTATTATTTCAGCCTTTCCAATGTTAATCAGCTGCTCCCGATTGTAAACCAGCTTTTTGCCATGCTTACGCATCATAACAAATGCTCAAAAAGTGAAAAAAATAGCAGTAAAAATCCTCCAAGCTTCACAGCACCAGAAACAGAAAAGTAAAATGTAAAAAAAAAAAAAAACAGTTTTTCTTGAGAAACTAGAAGACAAAATCAGAATCAGATGAATTTTATTGCCAGCACCCCTTTCAGAGCGTAGGAACTTGACTCCATGGTACAACCTGACCAAGGTTACACACACACACATATAGACAAGACAGATACAGGCAGACCATGGGAGCAGCCATAACGGCGCTCCTTTGTAGATGAGTAAAGGAATACATGAGGGAAGTTCAGGGAGGGAGAAAAAAAGGCATTAACAGGGTTACACCAGCAGGGTGTAGCACTCCAATGCAAAAAAAACCACCCGACATGTAAGCAACAAACGTCACAGTTCACAACATGAGACCCGGTAGGTAGGGGGGAGGGGCTGTGATCCTGGTTTGCTCAGCGGGGGCGGCCTGTGTGGCGCTCAACCAGCTGTCTCCGCAGGTGGGAGGGAGGTCATGAGGAAGCAGAGAGCAGTGAGTCCTTCAGCTTGATGACCTCGGTGGAGACCACAATCTGAAGGCGGGGGGGTGGGGGGGGGGGGGGGGGGTGGATAGAGATTCACCGCATTTGTCAGCATTCCTTCCAGCGTGGGGGTTTTGCATGCAACTCCAAGGCTGCTTATGGCGTCAGATTCGATAACAGAAACTTTGTTTGGGTCAGACAGAGATAATTTTTCCTCTCTGTCTTAAGTCTGTATTGATCATTCAAGTCCTCCAGTGAAGCCAATTCAGTGATTAAACATCTCCACACAGTCCGGTGACCCTTTCCGAGATGTTATCAATCCTGCGCGCTAACACCGGTAACGCAGCTAAGACATTGTCCAGCTTGCGATTCACCTCGAGCAACATCCCAGTCTGTGAGGTATCCACACGGACGGTGCCGTCCATGGATGCAGGTCGCCCTCCAATCGCTCCCGTCATCCCAATTTTACGGAAAGCCAGATATCCTCCCACTGCAATCAGAAGAAATCCAACGATCATCAGGCCAAATATCCACAAATCTTCGACGTCCTCAATGGACAGCTGAGAGAGACAGATGATATTCCACTTCTTCCAGGAATCAAACATATATCCCGCTGCATGTGTCCCCTGAGGACAAGCGTGAGCCCCCTCCTCCGTCCTCATTGTAGAAAAAATCTTATCAATCGCGTTGAATGACCAATTAATTAAGTCCATGTTGAAAAATGCTGAAAAAGGTGATTGCAGAGGAAATGCAGAGAAGCGCTCTGTAGGCAGACAGGACAAAAAGAGCCTTGGGAAAACACAGATAAGGGAGGAAAAGGCAGAAGCGTCTACTCCCTGTGAGCGCCGGAAGAAGAGCCAAGAAAAGTATGTCCAAGAAAAGGCAAAACTTACATAAAGTCAACAGAGCTACTCCAACATGCAGCAACCCAGAGCAGCGCAGTTCCGGAAACACCGCCATCACCCGCTGCAGCCTGTGGCGGGGTGCTGTGGGCCGGCTCCGGCCCAGGAATGAGCTCACCCTGCCTGCTGGGAGGGTTTGCAATACCGCCATCCTCTGCTGGAGACCATGGTGCGGTGCTGCGCCCTGGTTGTATATTCTGTTATTGTTACCGGTACTTGTCTTGCAATGTGAAATGCTTGGTCTCAGATTTTGTAAGAAAAATAATAACATTTCCACCAAAATGCAACTTACAGTCCAATGCAACTCATACATGTTTTTTTCTTCTTCATTACACATTTTATGGCTGGTGTGACTTATACTCCGGAGCGACTTAATACTCCGGAAAATACGGTAGTTGCCGATTGGACCTCGGCAGTAACTCCCCACGTGATCATGAAACCTCCCTCTGTTGTGCCAAGGCACCATTTATAAGACAGACAATTACCGAAATATTACTACCAAGCAAGGTGGAACGAATGCAGCTAAATCCGCGCATCGCCGTGCCGTCACTTTTATAGAACACTATTGCGATAATATTACTCTGATTTGCCGGCACGGTGTGTTTTGTAAAAAATGCCATTGACTCCCATGTTAAAAATGCCAACTTCACGGCAGAAATAAAAGTGTTTGCAGCAGGTACAAAAAAAGGTCAAGTTTACTATCATGACAACGATTTTTTTGTACATGTAAATAACCTTGAACTTATGAATAATGAGTGTGTCCTTTTGATTTACAGGTGTCCAATGAGCCGTCAGCGCTAGCACTAGCAGCTTGCCCCCTGCTTGTTCCAGAAAAGGCTTCAGCTTGACGTTAAAAGTATTACAGCCTAAGCTGAGGGTAGCAGAGTCGCTCAACCACGGCATTCTGGCTGAAAGCGCCTTCCATCCTCCATTAGCTTTAGTTAGCTCGTAGCTACATCTTCTCAAAATTTGTTGGATGTCATCTGCCCCCACCCTCACTGCCCCTCCAAGAGCTCAATTTTTGTATTTTCTGGAAGAGGCAACATGCGAGACACAGCCAAGATGGCGATGGTGGGCTTCAATTCAGCTATTCAAAAACCTACGGGTGACGGTGTGTAGTGCTTGTCCATATTATATATATGGCCATGGACTAAAACACGCTTCCAAGACATGTCAGACATTTTTAAAGAACATGCAGTCAGTCATAATTCTGGCAGGGAGCATGGTTTCTGGATCTGAAAATCTGGAATAGAAATAAGGAACTGGAATTGTTCGAGTTCAAATGATGACCAATTCTAATGGTAAATGGTAAATTGCCTGTATGTATTATAGTGCCTTCTAGAGTCCTGGAACCCCCCAAGACGCTTTACAACACAATCAGTCATTCACCCATTCACACATTGGTGGGGATGAGCTACGAGGTAGCCACAGCTGCCCTGGGGCGCACTGACAGAGGCGAGGCTGCCGAGCACTGGCGCCACCAGTCCCTCCGACCACCACCAGCAGGCAAGGGGGTTAAGTGTCTTGCCCGAGGACACAACGACAGCGACAGACTGAGTGGGGCTCGAAAATGCAACCTTCCGATTACGGGGCGAGTTAATCCTGTGCCACCGTCGCCCACCAATTCTAGGGAGCAGCTTGGACCATGTGGTACATAGGTGAAGCTCCAGGGACCATGGAGTAAAAAGTCAGAGGTACTTGCAATGTTGACTAGTGGAAAAAAACACCCACACCTTTAGACTAGTTTCCTGTTTGTTTCCATTGAAAACAAGAAATGTTCGATGATCTCAAACTTTCAGTACGCTGACTGTTATGGTGCTAAAGGTGCATGACAACACCCCACATCTCTGACTCACCACCAGAGAAGACCCTTTTGTTGGTGCTGTCAAAAGCCAGGCAGAAGATGTTGGAGAGGTGCTCTCCCTTCAGCTTTACTGGCTTTGAATGGGAGTGAATGGCTTTCTCCATGTGCCACAGCAGCACTCGTCTGTCATCTCCTCCTGCAGCAAAAACAGGAAGCCTGTCAACATGTGTGTAGAAACCAGGAATTCTCACAAGTTCTAACCTCGACTCGTCTGAAGTAAATTAAAGAGGTCTTAAATTTTAGCTGTAAAAGCCAAAGTTTATAATTTATCATGTTCTCCAGACGACAGGTCCGAAGTTTAAGAACTCCCTGGATCGAACTGAATTCAGCAGGTATGGAGGGCTTCCAGTCAACAACAGCGAAGAGTAAACATGCCAAGTTGAACCAAAATGGCAAACCACGAGATGCAACACTGGGCCAGATGATTATTTTTAATCCACTCTGGACATAAACAGCCCTGTGATTCCAAGAGGGTGTGATTATTACATACAGCACAGCGAATCTTTAGTGGTGAAGCCTAACATTTTGAAGGCCGACATATAAAACTGGACCCATGTTGCTGCTCAGACAGAGCTGTTGAGTGGCTTAGAGCTCGACAGCTAGCTAGCCAAACAAGCTAGGCTAAGTTAGCATCAGCACATAGGAATCGTTTCAGCTGACAGCCTGTCGAGCTAGCATTAGCATGCTAAGGAGTCTGTCAACTTACCGGACACCAACCACTCTCCGCCGTTATTGGAAAACTCTATGGCATTGACGCAGCCAAAATGTCCCTCCATGTTTTTCTTGTAGAGGCTGGTGCAGCCAGCCAGCCTGCGTCTCTGGAATTCCTCCATCATGAGCGGCTGACCTGTCAGCTCCCTGCGGGACAGAAAGCCCACCGAGGAGCGCATTCCGCAGCCCGTCAGGTCCTTCATTTTCTCCAAAGAAAGACGCCTCGCTCCGCAGGTATTTCCACCAAAGCTCGGTGCGCTTGGGTCAATGTAGCGTACTCTCTGTTGGGTCTACATTATGGAAGATAGTAGAACCGCTGTCTGTCAGCCTGCTGCTGCGTCGCTCCTCCTCTCTAGTTCGGGTAGCCGCTGTGTGCTCCGGTAGAGGATCTCCCTCTCCCTCCCTCAGGCTCAGCCCATTCCCTACCACCAGCCAGGAATAGTAATAATAATAATAATAATAATAATAATAATAATAATAATTTCTGATTTTCTATTTTACTACTATAGTCTGAATTATTTGTTCTTTAAACGAGTTTCCACTTTTTATAATTAATTATTCAGATGGAACTAACTTTTTAATATTAACAAGCATCAGTCTTCCAATTCACATAGGACAATCAATTTCCCTCTGGGATTAATAAAGTATTTTTGAATTGAATTGACTGTAATTTTGCCTCCAATGAAACTTTTTAAAATTATAAGTAAAGTTTTTGATAGCACTCATCCCAGAAAGAAAATGCAAAGTGCTTCACAAAGATCAACAAAACAAAACAAAGTCAGAAAGTCATCCCAAGAACAAAACAAGATATAAAACAAAACAAAAAAATATATTGATCATTTAAATCACAAAATGTCTGTTAATAAGGATCACAAAGCTGAAAATGGTTCCCCAGTCTCTGGAGAGCCATAAAGAAAGATTAAAGGAAAAACGGCCCAATGACCACAATGTTCAAGGTTTTTAGAATAATCTGCCTGGAAAGTCACTTATTTGGAAATTTTGACAGCTTTTTGCTCATTTTCTAAGCAGCTGAAATGTTTTATTTTATTTACCAATAAAACTACAAATGGTGTAAATGTGATAAAAATGCCCAAACTGGGGGTCTGCAAACAGAAGAGCAACTAATTTTGTCTAGTTTTAACTTGCACAAACAAACCTTTTCTTTCTTTTTTTTTTTACTGCTGAACAAAAGCAGCTGTGTCACGACTGAACCTGAGATGACAGCTGATCTTTATACCTGCCCCAAGTCCCTGAGCAGGAAAAAAAACAATACCTGATTTGTGTTAAAACATCAGATCAGAGGAAAATTGGTTGTTTTTCTAATGTGACCCTGATCCAAGCTCAATCTGACGGTGATTTTTCTCCCTATGATTGGTATTTTTAGTGGCCTCCTCTAAGATGTTATTAGGAGAGATGCCACCATTTTAAAAGTCCAAGCTCTTACAATGACATCAAATCTGTTTTCTGTATCAAACTCACACAGCAGGTAAGAAAACCACATATTTTCCCTTATCTGAGGGAGTTAAAACTCTGAAGATGTTCTTTTATTCACGTTTCTCCTTTTTTGTTGTAGACCTTTTGTAGGAACTTTTTCTTACTCTTGTTTTTAAATCTTTGTGTTTTCAGTTAATTTCATGAAAAAAATTATTGTGGAAACTATTAAGATCTGTGAAGACATCTTCTGCCAGGATTTTTCTGGAAGCCGATGAACATTTTGCTGCACTGATTTCACCATCTGCCTCCATGTTGCTGTCAGGGAAGGATTTGAATGCATAAATTGGGTCAAAGGCATAAATTATAATTTCTACATCTTGTAAATCACCAAGTTCTGCCTCGATCACTCCACAGACGTACATCTGAAGATCTTTCATCCCCCTTAGCATTCCAGCATTCCCATGGGACAAAACACATTGCGTTCATGGGATCTGGAATTTTAAGAGGTTATGAAAGTTTGCTGATGCCATTTCAAAGCTTTTAAATTGTTTAATTTTCATAAAATGGCCATAAAAACTCTTTGCCAAGTTCCGGCGTACACATTATCATGGTCCCTCTCAGAACCACGTAGGGCTAGGCGATATGGACCAAAATTTATATCTCTATCTTTTAGCTGAATTCCAGTATACGATATACAGGGTGGGCCATTTATATTCAATTCAATTCAATTCAAAGATACTTTATTAATCCCAGAGGGAAATTATTATTATATGGATACACCTTAAAAATGGGAATGATTGGTGATATTAACGTCCTGTTTGTGGCACATTAGTATATATGAGGGGGCAAACTTTTCAAGATGAGTGGTGACCATGGTGGCCATTTTGAAGTTGGCCATCTTGGATCCAACTTTTGTTTTTTTTTTTCAATAGGAAGAGGGTCATGTGACACATCAACCTTATTGGGAATTTCCCAAGAAAAAGAATGGTGTGCTTGGTTTGAATGTAACTTTTTTCTTTCATGAGGTTTTTTTACAAGTTTCTCTTTGTTCAAATCAAATCAAAGCTTTATTTATAAAGCGCCTTCCGCAACCCTGTCAGGAAGCCCAAGGCGTTGAACATGGTACAGTACAAAGTTAAAGAAAGTGAATAAATCAGAAAATAAAAGCAATTCAAATTACAGATTACAAATTACAAAAAAGGTAGTAGAAGACAAATGTGTAAAACAAGGGAAAAAGTGAACCAATGAAAACTGTGAGATAAAATCAACATAAAAGAGGGCCAAATTCAAACATGTTCAGGAAATGCCAAGCGGAGGAGGTGGGTTTTTAGGCAAATCTTGAAGACTGGCAGAGATGGGGACAGCCTAACTGAGGGTGGCAACTGGTTCCATAGTGACGGTGCTAGTACTGAGAAAGCCTGGTCCCCGCGAGTACGACACCTAGAACGAGGGACAACGAGCAGGCCTTGGTCAGAGGAGCGCAGAGCGCGTGATGGGCAATGTCTGTTCAGGAGCGTGGCTAGATGGGGGGAGCACCACCCTGGAAGAAATTAAAAACAAAGACGAGGAGTCTGAAGTGTGAATGATAGCAAACCGGAAGCCAGTGCACGGAGGCCAGAACCGGACTGATGTGGTCCCGTTTCCTGGTCCCAGTCAGGAACCTGGCTGCGCTGTTCTGCACAACCTGTAGGCGACGCAGTGATGACTGACACAACCCTGAATAAAGAGAGTTGCAGTAATCAAGCCTAGAAATTACAAAAGCATGGAGTACCCGCTCCAGGTGGGCTCTTGACAGCATGGGCTTGATTTTTGCAAGGCGTCTCAGGTGAAAGAAACTGGGCCGGATCACAGAGTTGATGTGAGCATCAAATTTAAGTCCAGCATCAAGTTTCACCCTCAAACTGGTCACAACTGGTTTTGAGTAGGGAGAAAGAGGCCCAAGATCAACATGACGATCCACATTCCTGCTATTGGGGTGAAAAACAATGAGCTCCGTCTTTCCCTCATTCAGATGCAGAACGTTGGCCATTAGCCAAGACTTCACCTCGTTAATACAGGACACAAAGGACTGGATGGAGTGTCCTTTCTCCTGACACAATGGAGAGTAAATCTGGCAATCGTCAGCATACAGATGGAATGATAGGCCATGTTTACGAAAGATTGACCCCAGAGGTAGCAGATAAATGGCAAACAAAAGATGACCAAGGATCGATCCCTGCGGGACCCCCCAGCGGAGCCCCTCCCAAGATGAAAAAACATCACCCAGTTTAACACAGAATGTCCTGTTGTGGAGATACGATCTAAACCAATCCAGAGCTGACCCTTTGATCCCATCCCATCGTTCCAAGCGGTCCAGTAGAATCGTGTGGTCAACTGTGTCGAAGGCTGCTGTCAGGTCTAACAACAGAAGCACCACAGATGTACCCTGATCTAGTGATAGATAGATGTCATTTAGGACCCTCAGTAGAGCCGACTCTGTGCTATGGCCAGACCTGAACCCTGATTGGAAAACCTCAAACAGATCAGAGTCAGCTAAATGTGAGACCAGCTGCTGATAAACGACTTTCTCAAGCAGTTTTGATGTAAAAGGCAGGATAGAGATAGGCCTGTAATTTTCGATCACAGAGACATCAGCACCAGGTTTCTTCAGGGTAGGCCGGATAACTGCTGCTTTCAAAGATGCTGGGACCACACCTGTGCTGAGGGTCCCATTGATAATCTGACCAAGTGAAGGGCCAAGGCACGGAAAGGCAGCCTTCCAGAGATGAGGCGGCAGAACGTCAAGTGGAGAGCCAGATGGCTTCTGCCTCGCAACTAGCTTATTCAGCTCAGAGTATGAAACAGTATTGAGGGAGCTCAGGGTGGGTGGTGATGGAGGAACTGGAACAGGGTCAACAGAATTACCAGAAATGACTGCTCTAATGCCTGACACTTTATCCACAAAGAATCTGTGAAAAGCTTCAGTTTCCAGCAGCTGTAGGAGACATTAAGCTAGGCTCCTGATACACCAGAACAGAGTTTAGTGTTTTGTAGAGGATCTTAGGATTATTGGAGTTAGTTTTGATGATGTCTGCAAAATAGGCCATTCTGGCAGCCCTCACATAAGCAACCAGTGATGCTCTGAACAACTCACGCGAGACCTGTAGGCCATCCTTTTCCCACTTTCTCTCAGAGGATCTACACGCCCGCCTGCAAGCCCGTGTGACATCAGAGAGCCAAGGCTCCCTCTAGACTTGCAAAGTTTGAGAGGGGCAACCACGTCCAGGACCTGATTACAAAGTAAATGAAAGTGTTGTGAATAGTGTTCAGTGTTAGATGGATCAGGGTTAAAGGTCTCTAACCTTACAGACATACTGTCCACAAACTTTGAAATAGTTTCTGCATCCAGGGCTCTGAACCTAGTAGCTGGAGCTTCACACACAGGGACAGGACATGGCAACGTAACATCACAGAGTATTGGAGAGTGGTCAGAGAACACAGGAGGCAAAGTCACAAGGTTCATGATGGGGAGACCAAAAGAGAGAACCAGGTCCAGGGTGTGACCCCTGGCATGAGTTGGGGATGATACCCATTGAGTTAAATTGAATGAATCTAGCAAATTAAAAAAAACCTTTAGCAAGCACATTGTCAGGACAGCAGATATGGATGTTAAAATCACCAAAAAATAGGACATAGTCATATTTTAGGATGCAGTCTGCCACAAGATCACAGAAATTATTAAGGAAGTTAGAGTCAGTCTTTGGAGGCCGATAAATCAGCACAACGAGCAGGCGGGGGGAGATGCACAGTTCAAATAAGCATAGTTCAAAGGAAGAAAATGACATGGTGGGTGTAAGCTGTTTACAAGGAAAGCTGGATTTAAAAACAACAACCAGCCCTCCACCTCTGCCCCGTGATCTGGGGATATTAAAACAGGAGCAGTCAGGTGGTACCAGCTCCAGCAGGGCGCTTGAGTCACCAAACGGGATCCAGGACTCACAGATGCAGAGAAACCCAAGTCATGCTGAATAAAAAAGTCACAAAGAATAAAAGTTTTGTTCAGCACAGACCTGGCATTGACCAGACCAAACCGGGTCTGCGGCGGGGCTGCAGCACCGATATCGCGCACGAGCCCAGTCTCCTTTAACTCTGTGCCCGTAACCGAGCGCAGATTCTCCCAGCAAACCCCAGTCTGGCGAGATCTTCGAGCCGATCGGCTGTGGCGCAGTGCCGATTCACCCTCAGAGCCGGCCAAGTTCCCTGGGCAGGGCACCGAGTAATCCAGGAGACATCTCGGAACCACCGGGTCAGAAGCTGGGCCGAATCGGGCCAGCCGCTTCTTCAGGGATCCAGGCCGACATCTCACGCGCCGGCTACCTCTCTTTCCCCGTCTTCTCCGATGCTTCCTTCTCGAGCTGGGGCGGACAGAGGGCTGACACATCACGGCTTGGGTGGAGAGAGCACACGGGCAATTCAACCAGCAGCACCATCCGTGAGGTTCCCGGCTCACGCAGCCCGGTTCCCAGCGCGCGCTGCCCGCTACATCAACAGAAGGACGAAGCCTCAGCAGCACAGCTCGATCATATGTCAGCAGAGGATCCACACCATTCAAAAAAAGCATCAGAGACAACAAAAATGCATAAAAGCCAATAAAATGCCAATAAAAACCAGTAAAAAGCAAGGTGCCAGTGCATAGAGGACGAGCAGCTCGCACCTGCGCGAGCGCCATCTTACTCAAATTACTGTTACTATGTTCACAGCCATTGACATGTCGACGAGGTTAACATGTGAGGAGCGGATCGAAATTGTGTTGATATCTGGTGAACGTAGTAACCAGGTCATTGCAGCAGATTTCAATGCAAGACATCCTACGAGACCACCCATCTCCCATACTACAGTTAGCAAACTGCTTGCTAAGTTTCATGAAACTGGTTCATTGTTGGATTTGCCAAAATGTGGATGCATGAAAACTGTCACTAATGAAGAAACATCAGTCTTAGCTTCATTCAGCAAGAGCAAGTAGCACTCGCCGCATGTCAGTGGAGAGCGGCATTAGTCGCACATCCCTTATGCGGATATTAGCTACTCACAAATGGCATCCTTACAAACTCCAGCTACTGTAGCATCTCAACGAGGATGACCCAGACTGGCGCACAGAATTTGCAGAATGGGCAAAACAAAAATTGGAACAGCACCCTCAGTTCACACAGAATATTTTGTTCAGTGATGAGGAAAACTTTTATGTGAATGGTGAAGTTAACAAACAAAATCACCATTATTGCTCTGACACTAACCCACATTGGATAGATCCCTCCAAGACTGTTGGAACAAAAAACGTGATGGTATGGTGTGGTATATGGGGTACAAAGATAGTGGGGGCCATTCTTCATCAATGAAAACCTCGAAATTGCTACATGATGATGTGCTTCCCTGTTTATGCACTGAAGCGGGCACGTTTCCTGAGTTTTTCCAGCAAGATGGTACACCACCACATTATGGGCGTCAGGTCTGAGCATTCCTAGATGAACAGTTTCCTGGAAAGTGGATTGTCATTGTGGGCCAGTTGAATGGCCCCCAAGGTCTCCCGATCTGACCCCCTTAGACTTTTATCTTTGGGGTCATCTGAAGGCAATTGTCCATGGTGTGAAGATACGAGATGTGCACATTACCTGAAACTACGGATACTGGAAGCCTGTGATGGCATTTCTCCTTCGGTGTTGCTATCAGTGTGTGAAAAGTGGGAGAAGAGAGTTGCATTGACAATCCAACACAATGGGCAGCACATTGAACACATTTTATAATGGTCAGAAACTTGTAAATAACTCATGAAAGAATAAAGTTACATTTACACCAACCACACCATTGTTTTTCTCGTGAAATTACCAATAAGTTTGATGTGTCACATGACCCTCTTCCTATTGAAAAAACAAAAGTTGAATCCAAGATGGCAGACTTCAAACTGGCCACCATGGTCACCACCTGTAGCTGACGTTGAAATGTTTGTGTTGGTTGCCATGACAACACCAGCAGGGCATCTGAGATCGTTACGTTGTCTCTGTTTGTTTTTTTTATTTGGTACTCATATTGTGTACCTGTGCAGTGGAGTTATACATCTTTCTTATAAGAAATGTTTCTGTTGAGACTGTTGTGAGGTAGTCGCTTCCTGTGAGTCGCGGGAGAGACGACACAGAGCGGTAACACGGCGGACTTTCGGTATATACACCTTTTCTACTGCTGGGTTTACAAGGCGTACACGGTAAAAAACGTTATACTGTTCTTTGTTTAGGACTTGTGCACTTTGTGAAAGGAAATAAGTGGCTGAGATGAATATCATATGTGCTATTGATATTATTTTACTTGTTTCTAGTTTTTACGGTGCTCCATGATTGTGAGAGAGAAATAAAAGAATTGTGGACATCAGTACGAAGCGTGGATTCTTTCGACCAGAGTAGATACATCACCCATCTTGAAAAGTTTGCCCCCTCATACTGTATATACTAATGTACCACAAACAGGATGTTAATATCACCAACCATTTCCATTTGTATCCATATAAATGGCCCACCCTGTATATCTTGATATTTTTTTCTCCTGTAAAATGTTTACAAATTAACTCCCATCAAGCTGTCTTGCGAAATTGTATTTACAACCAGGATAAACAAATCTCCTCATCAGCCATGATGAAAAGGCTCGCTAAAACACAAACTTCCCCAAATAATTAATAACCACGTAGCCAGATCCAATGATTAAGGCAGAACATTGACCCAGAGGTTTCCTGATCGAGATGACATGTGAAAATACATGTAGTGACCACTTTGTCTAGCGGAGAGTGGTAGCTGCACCTGCTAACTCTAGAAATACACTGATTGTTTATTTCTATTAATATAAATGATAGAGTCATCTTGTTTCTTGTCTGTAATGATATTGATATTTTTAAATATCGATAGATTGCTCAGCTCTAGAAGCACACAGAGTTCTGACAGATGTGGGCCAAACTCAGGTCATCCCGTAAAGTCAGCCATGATGACGATCAAAGGTGCATTGTGGGGTCCAATTCAAGGACGGTTGCACCAAGGGGGTCTTGTGTTTGACTTGTAGAGGGCTCATGACTGTCCCCTGAGGTAGTCTGAGGGACAAGCTGTAGGGGGAGCACTTGTAAGGGCAATCTCGTTCTTCTATGGACAAAGCAAGAGCCGAGTTAGCCATCAGAGTAGCTGTCAAACTTCCCCACAGCGACCTTCTCACAAGTGAGATTACAACCATTAGCATCATCAGGCATTTAAAACTTCAGAACTTTTTCTGCACAAGAGAAACTTTAGTGTATAAATGGATCTACAGCATCCTAACCTATCCCTCATCTGTTGGCCAACCCAGCTGCTGTCATTTGATAATATCTCACCCAGCTAACAAACTGTCCTCTAATTCCTTTGCTCCTTATCAGATCATCCTGATTTACCAGCCCCTCCATGTTCCAGCAGCGACCTATGGTAACAAGGTTTGAATGGTGACCAAAAGAACACAATCCTGGATTAGATAGGCTAAAATGTTCTTCTGGCCAGACATGAGGCCATTTGGGTACCTGATGAGGACGTTTATTAGTTGCTTCCTCCTGGAGACACGTCCCACTAAGGCAAACTTTGGGGTTGACCGAAAACTGGAAGGATTGTATAACCTTTCAGGTCTAGGATCCTTGGGATCCCTCAAATGGAGTGTGTTGTTGGAGAGAGAAGGTGGATGGATGCATGGATGAGACATCCACCAGGCTGTTTTTGCATCTTATTCTGTTGTATCTGATGAAGGCATGCCACCAAAACAATAACAAGTCAGTTTTAGTGTGTATAGTAGTTTTAATACTCCCTTTTTTGGGGATTACAGTGGTAGTCTTTAAGGAACTCAGCTTCAACAAGCCTTCTCTGAGAAAACGTGAAAATAAAAACATCTAAAGACATCCATTCTTTGGTTCTTTTTTAAACAGCATAGTAAAGATTTGTTTTTACCTTTTAAGCTGACAAGTTTCAGCTAACACTGTAGCCTTCCTCAGAGCACCGCCGACGTTGGTGGCATCACTTCCTTTTCTGTTAAATGCAGGCAGCAGAGGAAGGCTACAGTATTAGCCGAAACTTGCCAGCCTAGAGGTATAAACAAATCTTTACTACGCTGTGTTTAAAAATGAACCAAGCAATGGAATTTGACGGATCACACAGAATGAACATATAAAAGATATCAGAAAACATCTTTTAAACAGAGACAACAGAGATATTGTTCGTTTAAATACTGAAAGATGAGTTGCCAAATCGGGATCATCTATCCCTCACACCAACAGGCTGCATTCGTGTTGTGTTGCAAAAATCAATAAGCTGTAGTCGTTGCTGTTGGTCTGGAATCAGCGCCATAGCAGCCAGAGATGTTTTCTACTCTGATTTGTCAAAATTATGCAATTTAGGCACTTCTTAAACATCAACAAGGGTTATGATCAGACTTAAAGAAACTCTGAGTAATAATGTTTTTTAATTTTGCTTGACAACTAAAACTACTGACGGATACAACTACACATCCCATCGAACACAGAATATTGAACTAAAGTCTAAAGTAGTCAACGAGGCCCCACACTAAGCAGAAGGTCTTTTTATCGACTTTGCATATAAATTATGTCCAATTGTTTGTGCTGTTGTCCAGCTATTAGAGCCGCCACTATAACTACAGCTTGGGGGGGGTGTCACACATTAATCTACATCAGAAAAACATTTAAAAGTGCTTTACATTGAGGTACCTTTGATACATTCAACTCTACAGTTTGAAGTTTTCCTAAAGTACCACAAAGGTAATATGTTAGCTGCAATTAACAAGTAACCCAAAATAATCTGCTTTTAGCACAAGAGCTGGAGTGCAAAGGAGGGAGAAGATTTTGGAGGAAGACATCGAACAATTTCAGTTCCTCAATAAATTTTACCCATCAGTTCCTATTTATGATCAAAGTTCAAAGGTCAAGTGAGAGGCTTTTCACCCAAACATGAGTCCAGAGCTTAACAGGTGCTAAAATAAATACAGAGGTCGAAAGAATCTTTTAGTAATCATATTTACTAATGGACACTCCTATGTTTGAGTTTATTAAACCTATAAAGGACGAATCTTTGCTTACTAGGATCATTAACATTTAAATGAACCTTTTTATATATTCAAAACTGCCCACTCCCTCTGATGGTAGAGGAGGATATAACACAGAGTTGGACAAGCAATCATAGACTAAAAGATAACTAAAAACAGGAAAAAGATAAATGTCTGATGCACAAATGTCAGATTTATGGGAAAATGCTAATAATACAGTTGCTGTTAATCATGATTCAAATGTTGCAATTTGCGGACGGTCCCTACCAAGCCAAAATTCATAGGTGGGCCCCATATGGATATCTATTTATACATCTATAAATGGCAAACCGTATGGGTGTTTGTCCACGGTTTGTACAGTGACTCCACTGGGGGTTGCCCACAAAGGTTTGAACAGACCCGTGTATGAGTCAAACCATCTGGGTCCTTCTAAAAACCCATGTAGAGCTTGTTAGTATCTAGTGGAGCTTACACATTAGCGTTGGCACGGTCGGGGTTTGATCGGACTGTATGGAACTGGAGTTCAGTCTTCAACGGGTGATGCGGTTTCACTTATAAAAATATAAATATTTAAATACATAAATCCGAGGGACTTCTCAAGAATGTGGAAATCCCAGAGTCTGTGGGCGACGTTTAAAACACGCGGAAAGTCTGCTCCATAAGGTAAACCAAAGGCGGACATGAGCTATGTTGCTGTTGGAGACTCTGAACCACATTATTTTATTAATTTGCTGTGTGTGTCCTCATAATCTTGTGCCACACACACCCTGATTTCTCCCCTGAGCAGCTGTCTGCTCGCTAGGGCAAGAGCTCCGATGCAGAGCAGGCACGCACACACACACACACACACACACACACACACACACACACACACACACACACACACACACACACACACACACACACACACACACACACACACACACACACACACACACACACACACACACACACACAGAGCTATTCTCTTCTCCCGTTCCCACACTGAATGGCAGCTCGGTGCTACAGACATAAGTTTACTCAGCAGCAGCCAGCATGAAAATGAATCGTGCATGCGGGAAAACCCCCGCTGGCTCATTCTTCTCGCAGATCGGAGGCGGTAGGCGTAATTTCAGCTGGCCGATCAGTCCATAGTATCGCCTCGGTCCCAGTCTGACCGCTGGGGAGAAGGTCTGAGAAAAAGAGTCACCTCGGTACCAAAAACGCAAATCTGACCTGGGTGTGAAACCAAATCCGGTGCCGTTTGATACCTTTTGGGGGCGTGCCAACACTAATGTGTAAGCGCCATGTGGGCAAACCCGTGTGGCCACCGTGGAAGCCACGGATAAACCCAGTTGGCACCCATACGGTGTGCCCATAAATATCCATATGGTGCCCACCCATGTATGCTGGCTGGGACAAACTTTTCTCAGTATCAGAATTGTGTTTACCTGTTTCCATGATTACACCAAAAACAAATTTCACCACAACATCTGCTGTAAACAAACACCTAATGTTATTTGCAAGTTTCTGCTAAAGTTGATCAAATGGACCTTTTAAAGCTGGTTTTATTTCTGATACTTGGTGAGCTCCATACATTAGCACACTGGTGTCACTCGGGAGTATCGTATGCAAGCAGATTAGGTAAAGCTGACCTGTGACATGTATGACTTTTGAGACATTTTAACAAAGCTGGATAATAAATTTGTTGATTAAACGTTTGGTCACGTTTTAGCATCAAAGCTAAAATAGCTAACCTAGCTCCATTCCTGACCTAATTAGGTCAAAACAAAAAGTAGGTGGATAATTTCACATTTAGACTAAGCTAGGCCAGTTTTTATGCTACGCTAAACTAACTAGCTCAAACTGTTGTCTTGATGACTCTTTTTAATTAAACTCACAACAAGAACAAAACAAGCACCTCTAAAGTCATTGGTGTAATAATTTTTGTTTGTCCTCTAGTTCATTTTCCAGACAAGGTTTGTTTTGTGACTCATCCTTATGTATGAATCGATTACTTGAGCATCACTAACGGAGATTAGGAGAATAAAGGTGAAGCCTCCCAGCTGAGTGTATGTTTTTTGAGAGCAGGGTGAAGCCAGACTTCAGTTTTTATACAACATTCAACCAATTGCACATTGGTCTTTTTTTTGTTTTTTTTTTTACTTTCTGGTAAAATTAATAAAAAAAAAAGATTTCTGAAATCTGCTAAACCTAAACCTTCAGCAGTTTGAAACCAAACCATTCCATATCAGCTGATCTTTATTTATTTATTTATATATTATGCTTTATTGAGTGTGCTGCTGGCTAAGTGCTTTAAACCAACATTAACACACACAACAAACCAACAGCAGAGTTAAACCTGGGGACTTATTCAACACATTAAAAGGTTAACATGATTATTTATCATGTGTGTTCTCATAAGTTTATAAACATCAGCAGATTTACTTTTTAAAAAGCAGAGTAAAGAGGTTTTTCTCCTTGGCTGCATTGCTCCAGAAGGTTTTACATAAATAGAGGAGACAAAACTTAGCAAAATATTAAAAAATCAGATGAATGTAACAATAGGGAGTAAGACTTTAACTTAAAACAGCAGAATAAAACAACATGTGCTGGAAAAAAGGAGGAGGGGGTCAAAATTTGTTGGCACAATGGGGTGGGGACTGTCCTCTGTCTCTATCCCTTTGGCCACTAGTAGGGCCCTTTAGTGTGTCCAAAGATCCCAATAGGGAAGTGTTTGACATGTGAGGACCACTGGGCCGCCAACTGGAAAAACTTGACATCATTCCACTCGACACCATCAATTAGAACTGCAGGGAAGACACAAAATAACGATGGTGGGTGCATGTTGGTCAGAATGCTTATACATGTAAATTACACTATTAATTAATTAATTAATTAATCACGGGATGTACATCTGCAACAAACTCAATGTGGGAGTCAACCTAGATCAAGATGGCCACCAAGGCAAAGGGAAGTCAGAGCATGCAATAATGACACTTTTAGAAGATAAATGTTTGCATGGTGTTAACTAAAAGCAAAATAAACGTATTTCACCAAAATCTCTAGGAAGTAATCACTGAATGAACATTTACAGCTGATTAAGAATTGGAGTCAACCCAATTCAATATGGCTGCCAAAGCCAGCTGAACACGGAAAACAGAAAATAACTTCTCAGGTACTGAAATGTGTTCCTCAAAGAAATGCTAAGCTTTTAAGCCCCAGTGTGTGATGTTTTTACCACTTTACTATCAAATCCTGTGTTTTCAGTTCACAAACTTGTCCTTTTTCACTAATATTTCTCACCAACATCAATTCTAAATATTCCTCTCAACTTGAAATTATGTATTTTTATATACATAAACTGTGGTCGACGCTCCATGGACATCCACCATCTTAAAATACAGTAGCTGTTTAGGGACATACAAGCTCCACGTTACCCATTTGGACTATGACTGTAACCTGAAGCATGGAGTCTGCTAATTCAACTAAGAAATAGAAAAGAATAGCTACATCATTGCTGTACTTGTTAGTTTGAATTTAAAAAAAACTATTAAATCAAAAGACACATAAAATTTGTCAGTTCGTCATCATGTACACACAAGGCAGTTGTTCAGGCCCCCGCCCGCTGTCAGCTGGACGCCAGCCTCCGATTAGTGTCTCTGACTCCCAAACTCACCTCAAGTTGTTCACTAGTCTTGTCTTAGTACCAGAACACCCAAACCGGTCCCAATGTGTCTGTTCCAAAGTCCTTCTACTCAAGTGTCCTCTCTTCCTGCAGCCTGCCATCTCTCCCAACACGCTCCAGCGCTCGTCCGCTAGCCAGAGGCTAAATCAGCGTTGTTTACTTTATCTCCACAACTCTCTACTAATGTCGATGTAGTTCTCCACGCGTTACAGAGACGCTCCGACACAGAGGGCTTCTTCTCAAATGTTACCTTTAGACTTGGGTCTCCTTTTGCTGGTTGTCCATGGAAGTTTACACACAGCGTGTCCCCGGCTCTAGCTGTGGCTAACTAGTAGCTCATGACGCCAATCTCCACCACGCCAGCCGTGAGCCACGATTAGCTGGTGGCTAAGTCAGCATTGTTTACTTGATGTCCACAGCGTGTCCCCGGCTCACCAACCCTCCTGAGCCAGCCGTGGCTTAACGAGCAGCCAGTGATCCCTCCATAGACTGTAGCGGCAGCCACTTTGTTTACATCGTGCGTACCATGATCCACGTGAAGCGGGTGTTGTGGGAAATTATGTTCCCCTGAAATATTCTGTTTCCCTTAGGCAGACATAATTTTCCTGTAAAAGTTTATCACAAATGTTGTGAAAATAGTCAGAAGTGTGATTTCCCGACACAGGGGACAGAATGTTTCAGGGGAACACAAATTCTCACAACACCTGACCTCCCGGCTGACGTCACCCCTCCTCCGTGTGTGAATCGTGACCGCTTCAAGATCTAACATAACTAGGTTGCTTCCTTCAGAACTGGTAGGTTGATAAACAGTCATAATCATAAATGCTTTTTCAAGAGGTTGAGCAGCTTGGTTTAAGCTTCGTGTGGGTTAGGCTAGACAGGTTAGAAATTGATTATACTGTCAAACTCATGAGTGAGCCACCGTAGCTGCAATACTTTCTCTGAACTGCATGGCGCTAATGAGTCACATTTTTTCATCATGATTTCAATGGATTTCACACATGGGGCCTTTGATGTTAAAGCTCACTGCTCTATCAAGTCCTTCTGAAAGAAACTAAGAACCGTCATCCCTCACAACCTCAGGTGGGAGCTTAGCGTAACCCCAGTCGCCTAAAAAGCACAAAGGTTGTTTTTTCTGCAGCTGCTGCACAAATTCATCCAGTCACTTTAAATGATGGTGCACTTCTACACGGCCACAATCAAGTCCAACCTCTTCTCATCCATCTCTGTCAGTGTGTCTTTGTCATTGTTTGGGATTGTTGCAATAATAAACACACATTTGAATTAAGGAAGTATGTTTATCTGCTCTTGTAGTTTCACTAGAAACATGAAAAATATCATGTTACGGTACATTTATAATCTGTTATTGACTGATTAACAGCCTGATTTTAATTATTTAAACTCTGACCCTAACCCTTTCTGTGGTTTGGCGATCATACTCCATAAAGATGTTACCTCTCAGCATGGTCTGCTGGTGCTTGGCAGTACAGATGAGGCGACTGATTCCATCGATCACTTGACTCTTTGACTCCACTTCTTTGTCTTTGCTTTTTTTGGGCAGAAACATGACTGGCAGAAGGTAAAAAGAGACATCCACATGTGTATTAAAAGAGTTTTCATATTTTTGTGCAACATTTGAGATCAGCAACTCTAGCTACAGCCTTCTATGATGAGTGAATGAGTAGTAGTGCACCTAGAGCCCAACATACCCTTCTTATTCTTCTCCTTAGTTACAACAATCATAGACATGCAGGGCTGGGGGCCTGGCTCTGTGCCCCCTGGTGGCAGCCGGCTGACCTGCAGCGAGCGGAAATTGCACTTCAGAGAGTTTTTGGAGGAGGAGTCCCGCTTCTCCACGTCTTTCTTCCTCTCTGTTGGAGCCACCCAGTAATCTACCTGAAGACCCATCAGCTCTGTGGACTGGCTGCTAGAACTGAGAAAACATGGAACAAGACATTATTCTAGGAGCTAATTTGTTATATAACTGCATAAACAAGTGTCTGGGTGACACTAGTCACATGTGTTTTTTTTTTTTCATTTAAAGCAACACTAGATAGTTTTGACTCATCATAATGGGCATCACTCTAGCCCTCTGGTGACCAGAAACTTCCCTTAACAGTTTTGTGGTTCGGGTAGGAATACTAGTGGGAGGTCTCGACCTGCTTTAAGCTGATGGATGTTTACTGTGCCAGGAGATGTTATAAAAGCTAGCATTTAAAGGTATCGCAATCAATGTTTTTCTTCCGGGTGGATCACGTCAACCATTGGTCCGCAAAAATGTCAATTTCTGGTGAAGCCAATCCTGGGTTAGTTTTCACTTCCTGTGCATGCGTACTCTGTGCACCCCCGCACTCTCATGGAAATCAGGAAGTGGCTACAGCGGTCCAGTCCGCTCCCCACAGATGCCGCTGTTGCCGATTTTCTGCTCGAGAGGTAAGCTAACGTTCTGCATGCTATTTTTTAGAGCCTCTTATTACACATCACGGCCGGCAGCTACTTGTAAACAGGCGCTGGGAGAGTGTTGCGCAATGTGGAGAGGGCGTTTCTTTCCTGAAATTCAGAAGACTATTTTCATGTTCAGCCTACATGAAAAACCTCTTGAAGATCTGGGATTTAAGCCCCACAAATGCAGGTCTGGCAGCAAAAGGATAGTTACGTTTGTTTAAATGTGGGGTTGTGCGGTACCTATGAGCAATAGGTGTCTTTCCTGCAGCAGAGAGAAATCAGAGCGATCTCTGCTTTGAGAATCAATGAGAAAATGTCACGGTGAAGTTGAACTAACCATTACAGGCATGTAGTAACAAAAAGGAACTGATTCTACTGTTTACCTGTATGCACAAAAGCTAGTGTTGATGGAGGGAGAGGGAGGGGGTGTGGGCGAAGCCTCTTTCAGGGCAGGTGAGACTTGTGGAGGGGTGGAGGAGAGGAGGGAGGAGCCTAGAGGTGCTGCATCATCAGAGTCACCTGAAAAATAAACCAAGCATAGATAAACAATTTATGACATATTTTGTATTTAATCAACATTTTGTTTTCCTCAAACTGAAAAGCGTCACCGCTGTTATTCATCATTTTCAGGTTATCTTTTCAACATTAAGGGTTCTCTGAGACATTCACATTCACACAAAGGCACTAAGTGAGAAGAAAAGAGGGCTATCAACATGTTCTCCAAGTGAACTTCATATTTGTAACAAAGGTAAAGTTCCTCAGCTGGAGTGAAGTTCTCTTCAGGTGCACGAATCACCTAAACCACGTAACCCTAACCAAATTCTGCTTTTCTGCGACTCCTTACAGCTTTGATCAAACTGCCGTTGCACAAAACACAAGTCTGTACGCCTTGCCTGATGTAGCAGAGGTTTGCTCCACAATGCCGACTTTCACCATCTGAAGAATGAACACAGAGAAAATCAAGATGCACACAATCAGCCACCGAAGAGCTGCACGGTCTGACAGATACACACTTGTTTTACAGATGATGGGAAGTCAGAGTAAACCGCCACTTACCCCAATAAATGGGATGAACTTCTGACACGAGTCTTCAGTGGGGCTGCAAGGCAGCAGAAACCAAAGAAAGTTTACAAAGAAAGCAAGAAAATAAACATTTCAATATTAAAGAGAAGATTAACAAGGGGTCAGATGACAAATCTATAAGAATTACAGTCAAAAATGACCGAAAATTTACAATATTTTGATTTCAATTTAGAGAAATAGCCTCTACAGTTACCAACACTGATATCTGGTGATAAAATTAAGATTACAAAAACTACTGTATTAAACCAATGCATCTATACTGTGTTATGCAGACCAGCTAAGCATGCAGTGGCTTTCTAACTTAAACTACTGGATTCATTTCCTGAGACTTGCAGACTTCTGACTGGAGCAGATCAAGCAGAAAGCAGAACATGCAAACTACTGGCCAACATCTGGCCTGGAGGAAGCCATCCAATCAGTGCAGGGACAGCTTTTAAGGGCCTAGACAGAGTCTGCTAGGCATTGGGCAGGCAGCAAGTCCAAAATTGGAGCTACAGCATCATAAAGAAGTGGATTAGAAGGAAGAGCACCAACCTAAATCCTCTGCTTTAATGCACTGCCTCTGAGCAGTAGTGCATAATTACAAACACAAAAGGAACTATTTTCCTGGCAGCATCCAGAAAAATAGAAGACTAATTAACGTCAGGTTATCCTAAATGTTCATGTGGGAGGTTGTTGCTCTTGCCTTGGAGAAATCTGCCATCGCCCCCCCAGGGAAGAAACAGAGAGACTAGAGAGGGGGAGAGAAGAGAGTCTACAGTAGGTAATGGTGGGTTTCCGCAGAGTCGGTTCAGAGCAGGGACTACGCCGGATGTCTGCGTGCTGCGTGAGGGAGACCTGCTTCATCTCATTCTGGGATTAGTGATTCTGACAGAAAACCACGTCAGTCAGACATTCTTCCTGTGGATGCGTGATGTCACCTGTGGCTCAATAAACTCGCTTTTCTAAAGTCTGGAAACAGCTGATCGTTTTTTTATTGTCACATAATCAGTCTTGAAAGAATTTCCCAAAATAAACATGTATTTTGTTCTAATCGCAGCTTCCCCTGAGTCAGAAATCAAAAGAGCATCAGACGTGTTTTAATCAAACTATCTGCCTTTTAAATTATTTTAAATTGAAAATACTTTGGCAGAAACAAATTAGGAAATGACTAAGCTATTGTTTATAAATAAATGTGAAAAAGATTATATGTTGTTATTTATTGAAGATAAAATTTATCTGTGACTCAAACATTTGCCCTAAAAGGTGAGATAATCCTTTATTAGTCCCACTAGTGGGACATTTACAAAAAGCAAAAGTGTTTCTAATTAATAAAAAAAAAGATTAAAACCAAACATGCATTTTGACCTGGTTTGAATTCTTTTATGAAAGGATGAATGAGGCGTGATCAGGACGAGTTACCTTTACTAACAGCCTGCATCAAACTGGATGAAAACAGATCGGATGTGTCTCTTTGTCACTGGATTGGACCGAAATGTCATCAACAGGATTAAAAAATAATGAGATTTTTCTTTAACTACACAAACTAAAACATAAAAGGACATTTTTTTTCTATTATTGTGGTAAAAAAATAAAGTTTAAATGTTTATCATACTAAAGGAATTATTTGATACTCATTCTTTTCTTACCCATTTTAGAGGTCTTCTCGAAGGGCCTCTGTTCAGAGAAATAGCGTTTAGGACTGATATGCTAACAGCTAGTGTGATCAAAGCATGTATGCTTTGCATTTTAACCACAAAATACTTTTGTGTTTTGTTTCAGATTTGTACAATTTTAAACAAAATTCTAACAGGTACTTTTTAATTTGTGTTTCCGTTCCTGTTTCTGAACGGTCCAATCCAACGGCCCAAAGAAAAGGCTCAGGATGGAGGAGAAGAAACAAGCTGATAGCATTTGGTCTGCTGCCACTTTACCAGCATAGATCTCCATTTTTAAACAATGTTTGATTTGTCTCAAAGTTTAAATTGTTTGTTAACATTTTCATATTTTTAATTCTTACTTATTTTTTGATATTTTAACTTATTTTCTCTCCCTTTTGACTTTTTCTTGGCTTTTTTCCTCGTTATTCTGGAAATAGCAATAAAAAATTTGTCTGGACAGGTCGATGTTTTTTCTCTGGACATTTTGACTTGGTTCTGAAAAAGTATGTTGATTTTTTTTATAAGACTGACATCCTGTGGTCAAATTTGGTTACTGCAGCCCATTTTCAAAACACACGAGTCACTTTCTCATTCCTGCTCTGGCTCACGGCTGTTGCTGGTTACACATCAGTGCCAGAGGATTCTAGATGGCAAGCCATGACTAGTCATACACATTACGTTGATAGGTAGATAAATGCATTTCACTTTTAATATGAAGTTGTTTTTGATTTACTAGCGCTGACTATTTGCTTCTAATTCACTGTTAGCATTGTTAGCTCAACGTTAGCATATAGCCTTCTCTACCTGATATTAAAGTAAAAAAAAAAAGATTCCATGGCTTCTTAGGGGTTTAAGACATAACTTCCGGGTCACACCTGTTTACTGACTAAGGATTTTTACAAAATGCTGCTGCATTTTACCGACTGCAGCGCCGACTCTGTGATTATTTCACTGTAAAATCTTTACATATTGTACCTTTAATTGTCCTAACTATTCTGGAAATAGCATTTTAATTTTTATTAGCATTTTTTCAATCCCTTGTTTTTTTAATCTCAACATTCTGATTTTATTGACAAAGTTTAAAATATTAGGACCATTTTTGTTTCTGGACGGCCCTAATGTGACATAGATCTTGTCTGTATTAGAACAAAGCAAAAACCTACTGCTTTTATGAAGCATTAATAGCCATTTCGCTGCTAAATCCAATTAAAGTCTTATTGGAATTACTGATTTATTCGTGTTTTGGGTCTTTTACACCAACACACACCGACCTGATGTGACTCTATGGAAGAAGAGAAAATGTTTTATAAGTGGACTGCTTTCTAATGGTTCTGATGTTTTAATTAAACAGGTCAAATAGGACAAAACAGACGTCCCACTGGACATAAGGTGACTTAATTGCCTCTTTTCAGTGCTTTTAAATTAAAGCTCAGGCCCAGAGAAGAAAAACGCTTATAGGCAGCTGTTAAAGTGGCAAGCTAAAAAACAAAAATAAAACAAACAAAAAGAAGCATGACATGGTTGAAAGGGAAAAAGCTCAGACAAACAGAAAGCACATGAATCATCAGGCTACGTGAGACACAAACTCAATCGACCACAATACCTTACTGCAAAATCAAAATGAAAGCTCTTTTTCCTTCAGAAACAAAAAAACAAACAAAAATAAAACAGATCAAATATGTTATTCACACACACACACACACACACACACACACACACACACACACACACACACACACACACACACACACACACACACACAGAGTGATGGTGAGACAGATAGACCAGCTCCACAACAGTAGTAACAGTAGTGTTTCATTTCATTTTTCAAAGGGAGTTGAACCAACTTTAATTCTTAGTACTTTTACTTACATGATAAAAATCAAACACTTTGTCTAAATACGTGAATCAAAGTAATGATTCTGAAAAGCCAGTTGTTGAATTTTTTTTAATATCAGGTATAATCTCATAATTTGTTCACACAATCTTTCAGCTCCCTTTGAAAAACAAATGAGTTCCGCATTGAAAGCATCTGTTAGAGATAACATTTAGACATAAATGGAGGCTTTTGGATGATTTTTATATCTCTTATTGAGCAGAAATTGAGCCCTGAAGCAAAATGCTACCTCTTCTGTTTGTAAGTGAGCATGGCCTCAGCGATGGGGAGCTGGTGAGCTCCGTTAGCTCCCTCCATGTACTGCGTTACCCTCGACACCACATCTGGGCTCTCCTGGGCTGCACAAGAGACGTGGTTAGCATGCTTTACCTGAACATGCAGCAAACATAATACTGAACACTGTAGTAAAGTTTCTCTGGATGCTTTAAATGAATGAGAACTGTTGCTGAAAGGAAAAGTATAGCAGTGTGAGAGCCCACCAATAACAGGAGCCTCTGGCCGGTGAAACAGATCCCTCCAGGCTGCATCTTGGAACAAACTATTGTAGCGATAATCGATAGTGCCGAGGTATTTGGAGACGGGATGAGCACCTACAGACAAAATATGTTGTGTTAAAGTTAGCACTAAAAAGTCAATATTTTAATCAAAGTTGCTTTATGTAAAAATGGAGTAGGAACGACATCCTGTGGTCAAATTTGGGTACTGCAGCTCATTTTCACAACAAACGAGTGACTCACTCCCGTTCCGTGAGTTTCCCTGTAATATCTAGTTGCTGGTAATTGAAACAGTAGCTTTGGACAATTTTAGAGCCGACCCTTTGTTTCAAATTCACCGTTAGCATTGTTAGCTTAACATTAGCATCCTGCATCTTCACCCAATATTAAAGAAAAACATAAAAGAAGAAGAAGAAGAAGAAAATATCATTTCTATAGCGCCTCTCAAAATAAAAAACACGAGGCGCTTCACAAAAACAAAAAAATATGTAAAAATATAAAAAAGCATTTAGGAAATGTTTAAAAATATATTTAAAATGAGCAAAAAAGGCAATTGGGATTTAAAAGAAAACATTTTAAGAAAGAGAGAGAGTGAATAGGAAAGAGAAATCAGTGGATCCTGAGGAAGGTGGAATAGGTGGGGAGAGCAGAATAAAGAGAGAGTGGTGAAGAAGGTCATACAAAAGCCAGCTTGAACAAGTGAGTCTTCAGCTGCTTTTTGAAGGAGACCACTGAGTCCACTGATCTCAGGCTCAGGGGGAGAGAGTTCCAAAGTCTGGGGGCCACAGCAGCAAATGATCTGTCACCTTTGGTCTTTAGCCTGGTGCTGCACAACCAGTAGGCTTTGATCACTGGACCTCAGGGACCTGCTGGGGGTGTAGGGACTAAGAAGATCACCAATGTAAGATGGTGCTTGTCCATGTAAGGCCACATAGACCAGAACCAGGATCTTGAAATGAACCCTGAAGTTGACTGGCAGCCAATGAAGCTGGAGGAGAAGCGGGGTGATGTGGGTGTGTTTGGAGGACTTGGTCAGAAGCCGAGCACAGGCATTCTGAACCACCTGCAGACGGTTCAGGGAGGTTCTGCTCAGACACGTGAAAAGAGAGTTACAGTAGTCTAAGCGTGAGGAGATGAAGGTGTGGATAACTGTCTCATGTTCAGAGCGGGACAGAATGGGACTCAGCTTAGCAATGTTCCTGAGATGGAAGAAGGAAGAGCGAACAAGAGAACTGACATGAGAATCCAGGGATTCTCATGTCCATCTGGGACATGAGAATCCCTGGATTCCCACCTCAGGAATCTGGATCCAGAAAAAGATGCCGTGACTTCTTACGGGTACAAGAAATAACGTTCAGATCGCTCCGGTTTACTCGCTTTGGTTGTTTACAAAATACTACTGCATTTTGCCGATGGGTGTCGAATTACAAATACCAGCGCTGCAGCGTTTGTCAGCAACCCACAGGCTCACAGATTGTCTCCTTTGACCATTAAACTGACAGCCCCTCAGCCAGCTTAGAAGGAAATCAGGTTCATCAGTTTAGCTCAGTTTCTGTAAAACTGATCGGGTTAGAGAGTGACTCAAAGATTTTAGATAAACATCCATTGATTACTTACACTAAAATTCATCCAGTGGTGAATGAAAACTTTGTCTAACAGACAAATGATCATACTGCAGGTGATGACGACAAAGTAAGAGAAATAAAACGTGGCGAAACCAAAGCTGCACTGTCACCAACCTAGTGGGATGATGAGGAACCTCATGTAACCGAGCCAGTCTGGGGTCTTATGGGAGAGGTGGTCCACAAAGAGCCTCAGAACTGCACTGAGGTAGTATTGAGCTCCTGCCACGGCTATCTTTATGGGGATGGGCGTCTGGGAGTTGCAGTTGCAGCTGATCAGAAACAAATGATGCAGCTTTTTACTCCTCAGTCTATAGCTGTTTCACTTTTACACAGAAAAATAGGTGCTTGACTCACAATCTCTGGATGCGCGTCACTATGGTGTTGAAAGCAGCTTGGATGTCGGCTGTGGTGCAGGTGCAGACAACTGGAAGGTGCTGGTTTTGCAGCATTTCCGAAAGATACTGAAATGAGTGCAAAAACAGGTAAAAAGTCTAAGAATTTATGATGAACAACTTTTGAGTTTGTGCTACTTTGACTGAGTTTACTAAAAGTTTGAAGGATTCTGACAAAACCAATCTTTTAAGGAGTTAAAGTGGAGGTCTTACCTGACCTTGCCACTCGGACGTGTTGATGAGGATGATGCTGTCAGGGAGGTGGTTATCAGAAACCAGGATGTGGTTCAGTTGGTCGTACACCGTTTTTCTAGGAATCTGGGTGCACAAGAAAACTTGTTTTTATGAGTCTTTATGTTTGATCAGCTGGTATTTTTTATGATTATTTTAAAATAGAACAGTTGTTTTTGTGAGCAGCTGTTTTCCCCCACCTGTAGGTGGCACCGTGTGTCCAGAGATCGCTCATTATCCAGGCTGTTGGCCCTCTCATTCTGTGGCCTGCTGGGCTGACGCTCCTTCAGGGATGTGCTCCTGCCTCGTCTCCCAGCCATCTTCGGTTCCTGCCTGAAAACCAAAACAGGACATCAAACTGACGGGATTAGCTTCACTGAAGCTAAAACATATATTGGAACAAAGATTTCTGTACATTTTAAACATGGGTGTAAATTACATTTAAGCAAATGTACCTGTTGGATGAAATGATGAGGGACTCAGTCTTAGTCATTTTGCCACTAGGTGGCAGTCTCTCTAAAAACGTGTCCATGTTGTCCATCTCCAGCTCTGTGGTGGGAGTCACCGCCTCTGGCTGCTCCTGATGAAAGGTCAAAAACATAAGAAAACAAAAATCAGAGCCATCTTATTTTCATTCCCTAATGTGATCTGCCTGATAAATCAAAACACAAGGAAGGTTTAATCACACTCACATAAGCGACATTATCCGACACTCCATCATCTGGAAACTTTGCACTGTCACACTTTGATTTATTCACATCGATCTGAAACGAGAGGGTGAGAGGAAAGAAGAAAGCGATGAAGCTGTCATGATGGATTCTTAGTTTGCGGGAATTTCTGCAGCTTCAGAATCAAGTTGTTGGTTTAAGTGGAATTGATTGGTGATACTTTTAGAATGACGAGCTACGATGTGTTGGAGTGAAGCGTGGGTCTCACCGGGCTAGGGGGCTCCTTGTGACTCCTACTACTGTGGATGCTGCCAATCTCAGTCTGAGAGCTGGACAGAGACTGTCCCTCAAAATATGGCCTGAAACAGAGGAAATCTATATAACCTAAAGATACTAGTCATTTATAGACATCATGCTACTAGCATAATAAGCATTCTATTGTGTCCATCCTCAGAAAAGCCAATGTTTTATTCAAGTCTTTTGTTATTTTTATGCATATTTATTCATTAAGAAAAATCATAAATTGGCCTCCATCAATGTCCACCCACACAGCAAGCTCTATCACACAGGAGTTCCTCATGGATGTGTGTTCAGTCCTTTGCGAATGCATGCCCTGCTAAATTCATACAGAATTTAGCAGAAACTCAGCTAAACGTCTTACAGAGCAAAGGTGAAACAGCTGCTTAGCTGGTGAGGAGCTGATAATCTGTCTCTTTACATCAGAAAACAAAAGAAGCAGTAGATTAAGAAAAAGACCCAGCTGAAGAGGGTCAACTACAAAATGTTGGGGGGTCAACATCACTGAGGATCTCTCTGGGGGTCTAACTATTACACATCTGTTCATTAAAGTTCAGACTCCTGGACTTTCTCAGAAGACTGAATTCTGCATTTACACCAGCTGTTACCATGACAACACCACTGAGAGCATAACAGCAACTCTTTAACTTGTAATGAAAATGAAAAAGTGATCAGGGAATCCCCAACCTTAATTAAGAGTCCAATTTATGGCAAAATAAAAGAAAAACACATAATATTGTAAAATTTCGTCATTGTTTGCTCATAAACTGTTCCACCAGATTCTCCAACCGCATCATCCATCTGGTCAAGAGAACGTTTTGTTTATATACATGAAATGACAAATAAGTCATCCTATTACAAATTATTCAGACAGATGTAAGCACAGACGTTGCTTTGTTTACTTGAGTTTGGGTTTTGGTGTACTGAGGACGCTGTCATCGTCATCCAGCTCTGGACCGCTGTCACTGGGGTTCTCAAACTCCACACTGTCCAGATCCAGATCCTCCTCCTCCACCTCAGGTGGTGGCTCCGCGGGGTCCTGCTCCGAGTCCAGCACCTTCACAATAATCACATCCCTGCTCACAAGAGGAACAAACAACACTCTGTGGAAGGTGCAGGACAGAAACACTCACCTCATCTGAAACTCTGAAGCGCTTCAGCAGCGCCACCACTCGCTGCTTAAAGTTCTGCTGCTAAATCATGAGCAGACAAACACAGAAGGTCAGCCTGACTCAGAAGGTGATTTACAGACAAAACCCAAACTGAGCTGGAGCTCATACGTCTCAGTGATTTTACCAGCAGCACATACGTATTCGTACTCTTTTGCTGTATTGATTTTACCGTGTGAGTTCATGTAAATCAATCATCAAACAACATCAGGACCTACTTTGGGCTTTTATCTACTGAACCTGCTCATTGAACCGTTCACCATCAAATTAGAGACAAGTGTTTAAGCTCATCAAGCCTTTAATTGCTAGAACACACACGAGATACATTCAACTGGAGCACCTGTGCTTCTGTTTCCTGACTAGATCCTTTTGGGACAGCGTGGAGATTTTTGTTCAGGGTTGAACAAATGAAAAGTCAGAAAAGCAGATGGAGAATATGTTATAGCTCATGTGACGACTTCATGTTAGAGTGAAGCAAAAACAAATACTCTTCAAAAGTAAAACATGAAGTCTCTGTTTACTCTACAGAGTCAAAGGTCTGTTTACATGCTTGGCCTCCAGGGGCGTACAGAAAAAGAGGCTTCAGGTGCCATGGCCCAATTGAATTCTGTATCCAAGAGTTATTTTCTATCATCTTTTGTTGGTTTTTCCTCCATTTCCTCCTCTCTAAACTTTTCTATTTGACTTTCAGAGACATTCTAACTGAAGGAATCCCAAACTCTGTTAGTTAGCAGTGTGGACTTTGTGGTGGCCACTTTACCTGTTCTATACGATCAGAAACCAGATCCTCCAGGTGTTTGCATTTTGCCATGTGATACATAAATGAACTTTGCTGCTGCTCAGATTAGGCTTTCTAACACGATCTGGCAGCCAGGATGCTGCAAACACTGATGAAATTTCCTTAATTGGTTCGAAGAGGAGGAATTTCAGCTGCTGGCAATCAGACACAGCAGCAGGACGATGTTTGTTTTTATCTGCAAATCTCAAACAGCCCTTTGCTTTCAGTCATTAAGAACATATTTGTTTTTCTCAGGCTTCTGCAAAAGCCTTATTTCTCTGATTCTTATGACATGTTTTATTTTGGACAAATTTAGTTTTTTGTCTTTTTAGAGAATGTGTCATTCTACATTTATATGGAGCTTTAAGAACTCGTGGTATTGTTTATGCACAGGTCTTTAACCACCATGCATTTTAAAAAGCTATAAGCATAAAAAAATAAATAAAAGAAGCTCAATGTGGCAGCAAAAAGCAACAGATTCCCGTCAGAGCAACAACCTGCTAAAAGTACCCTATTAGGAGGTAATAGTTTTGATTTCTCCAGGTACTCTTCTCACACGATCAGGTTAAACACTAGTGTCTGTCCGTGTGTCTCTGTGTTTCCCCGTGATGGACTGGTGACAAAGCCGAGGTTTCTCCTGCCTCTCGCCCGATGACTGCTGGAGATGGACACCAGGTCCCTGCGACCCTACAGAGGGATGAGCGGAACAGATGATGGGCGGAGCTCTGGAGGTCACCTGACCCCAGCTGTGGAAACCACCGGTTTAGACTGCAGATGTTTCGTTTTTAAAGTTACAACCAAACTAATCAGAGCTTCTTTTTCTATATTTTCATTTTGAGGTGGATGTCTTGTTGTTAAGGTACAGGATCATTAGCTATTGCTAACAGAAACCCATCTCTTACCCTGGTTATGGAGGGCGTTCTTACAATCGATCTCCTCTGCTTCTTTGGCTTTCTCACTTCAAATTCATCATCTTCAAGGTCCTGAAATCACGAGGAGAGGACATCAAATAATGAATCCACCTATGTGACTTCAGAGTGTATGAATACAAAACAAAGGGTTTCATTTCTTGATGATTCCGGATGGCCTCACCTGTCCCTGTACTGCGTCATCGCTGGCCTCCTGCTCTGAGGAGAAGCTCTCATACTCTTCCTCTGAGTAGTTATCTACAGCAGATAACAGGCAGGGACATTAAGAATTGCAGTAATGTTTACAGTTATGATGCTTCATGCATTTAGCAAAATTTAGATTTAAATGTGCATAAAATCAAGTGCAGCAGCCTGTATATGACCTGGTGTTGATTTCTTTTTGTGAGAAAAGGAAAACTATTTCAGCCCAGAGTGCATATCAGGTGATTCTGAAGGCCTCCTGCTGGTTTCACTCTGAGAACATGATGGGTACTGAGAGGCAGAGCATACCGGAGCATTTGATCTTCTGTCCTGCCTGCAGGGCGGCCTCCTCGTGGTCGATCGGCTGACTGGACAAGGAAAAGATCCAGATCTCTGCCACTTTGCCCAGCAGGTCTTTCTGACTGCTGCAGAGAGGCAGAACCTGACCTCCTTCTGTCGGGTGCTGCATCACCTGGGAAACACACAACCGTAAAACACATGAGACTAGAAACAGATTTGTGCAGATTTGTAAAAAGTTTGAACCTAGAGTCAAAAATAAAATCTTAGTAGTAATTTTGTTTATTTCTGCTTTCAAAGCAGCAATTTCAGATGATATTAGATAGAAAATCCAGTCTTTTTCATGCTGTGGTCTCTGAAGCTAAACCTGGGTGTGAGGCAGGTTTAAGGAAGCACGAAGAGCCTCTAAATAGCTGGTCTGAAGAAATGGTTCAGCAGCTCAGGAGGAAGGAGACTCTGAGGTGATCATCTGGTGTAGATGAGAACCTGCTGAAGGTTTCTGATGCTGCCAGGCAGTTAAAAATGTTAAAAAAGCCAAAACCAGGAATTCTGAAAAATACGTCCTCTAAATTGGAAAACCGGGATGGTGAGTCCCATTTAAAATAAAAGAAACTAGACTGTCTGCTAATTAATTCTAAATTCATTATTTACTACAATAGATCATTTGTAAATCACTGTAATCCAGCCTCGATATTTATTCTCATAAATTTCTATCATGTGGTTATAATCTAGGATGCTAATGCTAACGAGAGCGTCTTTGGCTCCATCTTTGCTCCTCTGGGATTTTCTCCTTTAGCACGAGCAGCTCAAGGCTGAGCCTCTAGAGCAAAAGGTTTGAAATCTCAGAGGCGGAACTGGAGAAATGAGCTGATGACAAGTTTTTTCCAATTACTCACAAGTCTAATAAATGTTCTTCATTTCAGCGTGATGGTGCTGCTCTGGCTAGACACAGCGGGGTCACTTTGTTCTGCTGTGCTGCAGAACCTCAACAGAGGTGACTCATTCCAGAGTAAAGATCCAGACTTACAAACCGGGGTCATTTCAGGTAAATCCCTCCTTGTTCCCGTCTCCTGCAGGAATCTATGTATTTTGTGCTTCAGCGCCAATGTGGTACTCTCAGCTGCTCAGATGCAAACTTAATAAGCTCCGCTGAGCTTTGTCGGCCACATGGGAACTCCTTTGTGCATCAGCATCGCGTGCACAGAACTCCACCCTTTTATTGACGTAATCTAGATTTTTGTCTCAGAGGTGTGATACCTTTAATGTTTCTATTAGGATGCAGGAAGAACAGATTTCCACCCGATTTTATGAACTTTAATTTAATACTTGACACGATATGGATGTGATTTATCTACGGGAGTTTTGTGACATAAAGAGTCAGCAGCTGCAGCTTCAACCATCCTAATTTAGGTTTGTGTTGCTGTCGCTCTCAGCACGCTAGAAGTATCTCTGTCCTCCCATCTACATTCAGGACAAAAATATCCTGCACACACACACACACACACACACACTGGCTCTACCTCCGCCATGTCGATGGATCCCAAAGCCAAAGTCTTGTAGCCTAAGATTGTTCGGTTCTTGTATCGTTTCCTCCTTTGCAGCATTATCTGCAACTTGTTCCCTTCTCGCTTTAAGAAGTGTGGATACTGAGAGAACACAGAAACGGGAACAAATTAATAAAATTAATACAGAAAAAAATACAAACAATGTTCAGAATTACATTTAAACTGTATGCTTTCATGAAACGACCAAAATCATTGAAGTCATTAGATTCTGATTAATTCAGAGTCATTTCCAACTAAACAATAAAGCTACAAGTGAATAATACCCTCGCTAACTTATAAGAATATTAAACTATTTCAGCACATTTTGAAGAAGTAAAACCACCCCACTGCATTGAAAAAGAATTAAAAATGAGAATTATGCTAAATAAATGTTTGATTCTGAATTTAATCAGAGACACATGATACAGTGGGTAAAACATTAGAAAATAAATGGTAGGGTTCTACAACCCCCCAAGGCGCTTCACAACACAATCACTCATTTACACACACATTCACACACTGGTAACGATGAGCTACGATGTAGCCACAGCTGCCTTGGGCGCGCTGACAGAGGCGAGGCCTGATGAATACTGGCGCCGCCGGTCCCTCCGACCACCACCAGCAGGCAAGGAGGTTGTGTCTTGCTCAAGGATCAAACCTGCAACCTTCCGATTACTGGACAACCCGCTCTACCTCCTGAGCTACAGCGGCACTAAAATAAACACGGTGCTGGTTTTGTTCATTTTCATGTCAATATTTTAACCCTTAAAGGGACTTTACGGAGTTTTGAATTTTTATGCTTGCGATTGCCCCCTCAGGCTAAAAGCATAACATCAGCTTCAATAGTAGGCTCGTGCACGAGGTGCACATGCTGTACGTGCACACTCCTTAACAAAAATAACAGCTGAGACAGTCCTGTGTGTGTGTGTGGGTGTGTGGGTGTGTGTGGGTGTGTGTGGCTTGGAGGACAGAGGACAATAATTTGGTTCTGTACCTTTCACTTCAGCACAGCCGACAAAGGTTTATGATGGGTCAGTCCTCCTGCATGCTCAGATCATTCCCTTCCCTTGCTTGAAAAATTGTTCCAAAATGAAAGTTGAACCCACATCTTTTTTATCTGTGAATTCAATGTCGTTCGGCAAGTCTCAAATAAAAATTTGGGCATCTTACTGTAAAAAAATATACCATTAATGTAAAAAAGAACTCTTAATAAACTATAAACTATTTTTCTTTGTTTATTTTTAAGTTTATTTTAATTTAGGAATAAATAAACAAACAGCCCCATATGTAATATTTTTTTTGTTTATTAAATATTTTGTAAGTTGTCCGTTGAGTGCATGCTTCTGTAAAACTCACGGACTAAAATATGAATGTTGGAAAGTCATAAACAGCATGAATAATATATTCTACTTCTATTACCAATAGCTACTTCAATATTTATCTATATTACATATATTTTTGTTGTTGTTTAGTGCAGACAAACACACTAATACTAATCCTACACATCAGTGATCTGGGTGAGGAGTTACCTGTAGTGAGAAGGTCAGAGCCAGATCCGTCTCCACCACCCCACTGGGTGGCAGCACGATCTCATGGGACCTTAAAATACGTTTGGATCCCTTCAAAGAGAGAAAACAAATCTGCTTTGGTGTTTAATTTAACCCACAGAAGTAGCACAACGCTACTGCTCCTCCTCACTCTGCAGCAATAATGTGGGCTGGAAACAATTTTTTCAGGATTAAAGGATTCCTGAAGCTTTTACCACTGTGATAACTTTTCACGAGAAAGACAAACCTATTGTCCAGCTTTCTGCAACAAAATAAGTCACCACATTCTCTGAAGGATGTTTTCATCCTACATAAAACTAATAAAAATAACAGTGTGTATCGCTGCATACCTGGATCTTGACTGCGATGACCACAGAAATCAGCTCTTTATCAAGATCCCTCAAGACCACCAGCTTCTTCAGAGTCAGACTACACAACCTGAAAGAGAAGCAGAGGGAACATTGTTGAGTACATCACCGGTGGTGTGCTTTATCATTACACACAAACAGGTGAGTCATTCACAACAAGCCAGCCTGATTACCAAACAGCCACAGAGAGAGGAACACAAAGAAAACAACACGAGCACCAGGAGCTCAGGTCATCAGGTGGTTTCTGCTAACAGGCTTCTGGGCATTGATGGAAACTTATTACTATAGTGGTTCAAATGACCATTTTACAGTGGAGGTGTACCTGTAAGCCTTAGAACCACAATTAAATTAGTCTGTATGGAACTTGGATGTCATTTTTATACATTAAACAGGAAAACATCATCCAGACTTCATATTTTAATTAGCTTGTTGGCACCAAATTACATCAGCAGGTGGGCGAGTTGAGCTTTAAATTAATTAAAATTAATATAAACTATAAGACCAAAATGAATTTGATTGTAATGAAATCAATATGGACTACCATAAAAACATTCAGACATTAGTTATAAACACGTTTAGAAAAAACATCTACGAGTCTTAATGCGATCAATCAGTCTCATTATGTAAACTGCTATAAAAGCAGAGAAGAGATGCTACGAGCCAAGCAGGGAGTCGGTTTGCATAAAGAAATGATAACATGGGTTTATTTGGCCAGTGAAAACATCTGGAAACGGAGCCCTTCTGCATGTTAACGGAAAACCCAGACAAATGTAATTGTGTAGTTTTTTTTTATTAGTTTTGAACTTTAATTAAAACATAACTTTTTATTTAAGCAGTTTATATTATTCACTTAAGGCTTATTGTTACTGAACCAATGAGGGAACTTCAGCATGTTTACTTGTTCTAAACTCCAGCCCAGTAGGTGGCAGAAAATGCAACAATAAACTGGTTTAATGGCAAAGTGAATCCAACACAGCAGAGAGAAAAGCCCAATCCCAATACTCGCACTTGCACCCTCTAAAGGCTGGTTCCAGAAAGGGTCAAGTCGTCATTGACTCCCATGTTAAAAATGCCAGCTTCACAGCAGAAACAAACATGTTTACAGCCTGGTACAAAAAATATTTTAGTTTTAATAGGTCAAGTTTTTCATCATGACAACTCTGAGGATTTGCAAAAGAATTCAGCCCCATCAGTTTTGATGTAATTAAAGCTTGAAATTATGAAAAATTAAGGGCGTGTTCTCTTGAATGACAGACTGACTCCACGGAGGGTTCGTCCATCTTATATTTACAGTCATTGGTTATCATTTATACTGTTGAAAATGTAAATAAATTAACCAAGCCTTAAAGCTTCAGTATTAGGGGTGTGCCGATTTAATACCGATTTGTAAACGATCTTAAACGATTATAAATAAATGCTGAAAAACAGCCGCAAGGCATAGCAGGAACATAAAAGTTACGCATGCTGCCCAGATACTGTAGGGACAGGCCATCATAAAGAACAAACAGCAATAGCGACAGATCATTTCTCAGTTTCAGCCACTGACTGTGAGATTTACTCATCATGGTTAAAGGAAAGTTGTGTAAAACTAAAATAAAACACAACAGCAACACAACCAACATGCTACAGCACCTTACACGTTTCCAACCTGGGTTAAAAGAAGAGAATAAGTCAGTGGTTGCTAGGACCAGACAACAAACTAGGAAGGGTTCAACTTCGGTCGTTTTTCATAAAACTATGGTGGCGGCACCAGGGAGCCTTTGGTCATTTATAAGTAGTCAGTCTGTGGCTGTAATGTGGTGTAATCATGTGTTTTCACAATGATTCATAAACCTAAACGGTAAAAAAGTGCATCAAACACAGTGGTAATCATGGTAATCGTTTAAAAATCAACCAGATCGGCCCACCAGAACTTGTCCAATTCGCCGGGTTGTACCCTGAATCAAAATCTAATTGTGAAGTACTTATGATGGCACACCCCTATTGGATTGGGGGGGGGGGGGTGAAGGGGGCTTACAGTAAGTTCTAGTGGGAAGCAGGCTTTAAAAGGAACTCCGGCTATGAGGACGTGTATGCCCTAATAAGCCACAAGTTTTCTGTTGTACCAAACTATATTGTTAGAAACACACAAAATATTGCTGTTTATTTATAAATCTATAATATTTAATACATTTTCTGACATACGTAGGACGCCATGTTTTCCACACGCAATGCACTCTGGGGGCGATGACGTATATTGGTTGCACTTGGAAGAATAACTATTGACGCTAGTGTTTGTTTACGCGCTCACCGTATTAATAATTAAGTAAAATGCCAACATTTTTCTCCTGATGCGTTTGAGGCTTATAGTCGACCAAAACTACTTAAAGAGCTCACTAGAGCGGCTGGGTGTAAGAGAAGGCGGAAACTAAATGCTTTACCAACCATTTTCCCACACAAGGAGCCTAAACGCCCTCGGAGAGACAAGAGACGCTGGGCGGTCTCCCGAGCCAACAACCCGCTCCTGCAGTTGCCGCTTCTGTCATGTTGGGCGAGCCATCGGACACGCCACTCATCATGGATGAAGCTGAGCATTCACCTCTCTCGTCAGTAAAACAAGCAGTAAGTGTAGCAATACAGTGTTCTCCAAATCTATAATATCTGCAGAAATGATTAAAATCGATGCATGAGAAGAGTCTGGATTGTCCTGAGCGTGGCTAGCAGTGCCTACACCACGCTCAGGACAATCCAGAGTCATCTCGTGCATCGTTCCACAAATGTGGAATGACCTACCAAGCACTACCAGAACAGGGGTTTCCTTTTCGACTTTCAAGAAACTCCTGAAGACCCTGCTCTTCAGAGAGCATCTTCTAAACTAGCACCCTCCCTGCACCCGTCCCCCCTCTCTACTGTCCACTCCTTGTTCCCTCTTCTCCATGATTCATCATGCTGCCTCACTGCCACCTGCGAATCACTGGAAGTTGTTTGTTGTTGTTAGCCTCAAGGGCAACATGCCGATTATAACTTGTAAGTCGCTTTGGACAAAAGCGTAAGCTAAATACATAAACATAAACAAAGTTGTTTCACTGAATATCCTAATCATCTATGAAGCACATGCTAGCTCTGGGTGCTAAAATTCTCCAAAATCATTCATAATTGAATAAGTTTGATCACACAATAGCTTACCGTTAACTTCTGCTGACAAAAATGTGAACTCTTGACAACAAACACTCTCCCTCTCGGCTACCATGGAGACACATTTGCCGCACACGCACCACCGGTTTTGTCCTGCACTCGCTTCATCATGCCCTTCTTGCTCTTCATTTTGATGCTCGTTTTGTGAAACATCATCAGTGATGTCCTCATTAATGTTTCGGTCTGCTTCAAATTGAAAAGGCTGAACAGATGACATGTTGATGTCGCTGAACAGTCACTACAGGGTCCCAAAGCCGGCCGGTTCAACCGAGGTACAACCAAATGACGTCACTACCCAGAGTGCATTGCGACGCTAACAACAATGGCGACCTACAAGTTAAACAATTTTTTAACAAATTTTATAAAAATGAAGACATTAAGAAGGTTTTTTTACACATGTAACCCCCCCCCCCCCCTCCCCCCAAAAAATAAAAAATAAAACACTACGTCCATGGCTTGGGAACAACCCACCCTCAGTCAACATCAGTCAGGATGGAGAAAGAAAGGAGGGAAGGTAGAATGAGTGAATACAGTGCATCTGGAAAGTATTCGTAGCACTTCACTTATTCCACTTTTTTGTTTATGTTACAGCTTCATTCCAAAATGGATAAAATTCATTTTGCCCATAATATATATATATATATATATATATATATATATATATATATATAAATAAAATAAAAAAAACTTGAGAAATCACATGAACATAAGTATTCACAGTCTTTACTCAGTACTTTGTTGATGCACCTTGGCAGCAATTACAGCCTCAAGTCGTTTTGAATGTGATGCCACAAGCTTGCCACACCTATCTTTGGGCAGTTTGCCCATTCCTCTTTGCAGTGCCTCTCGAGCTCCATCAGGTTGGATGGAAAGTGTCGGTGCACAGCCATTTTCAGATCTCTCCAGAAATGTTCAGGTCTGGGCTCTGGCTGGGCCACTCAAGGACAGTATTCACTGAGTTTTTCTGTAGCCACTCTTTTTGGCTGTGTGCTTAGGATCATTGTCCTGCTGAAAGGTGAACCGTTGCCCCAGTCTGAGGTCAAGAGCACTTTGGAGCAGGTTTTCATCCAGGATATCTCTGTACATTGCTACAGTCATCTTTCCCTCTATCCTGACTAGTCTTCCACTTCCTGCCGCTGAAAAACATCCCCACAGCATGATGCTGCCACCACCATGCTTCACTGTAGGGATGGTATTGGCCTGCTGATGAGCGGTGCCTGATTTTCTCCAAATGTAACGCCTGGAATTCACTCCAAAGAGTTCAATTTTTGTCTCATCAGACCAGAGGATTTTGTTTCTCATGGTCTGAGTCCCTAAGGTGCCTTTTAGCAAACTCCAGGTGGGCTGCCATGTGCTTTTTACTAAGGAGAGGTGGCCACTCTGCCATACAGGCCTGATTGGTGGATTGCTGCAGAGATGGTTGTCCTTCTGGAAGGTTCTCCTCTCTCCACAAAGGACCGCTGGAGCTCTGGCAAAGTGACCATTGGGTTATTGGTCACCTCCTTGACCAAGGCCCTTCTCCCCCGTTCACTCAGCTTAGAAGGCCGGCCAGCTCTAGGAAGAGTCTTGATGGTTCCAAACTTCTTCCACTTATGGATGATGGCCACTGTGCTCATAGGAACCTTTAAAGCAGCAGAAATTTTTCTGTAACCTTCCTCAGCCTTGTGCCTCAAGACAATCCTGTCTCGGAGGTCTACACTCAATTCCTTTGTCTTCATGTTTGGTTTGTGTTTTGACATGCACTGTAACCCAGGGGCCTTATATAGACAGGTGTATGCATTTCCAAATCATGTCCAATCAACGTAATTTACCACAGGTGGACTCCAGTTAATCTGCTGAAACACCTCAAGGATGATCAGTGGAAACAGAATGCACCTCAGCTCAATTCTGAGCTTC